GACTGTATTATGAAGATGTCAACATCTGGGGAAAAGCACGGAATACATAAGACAAATCGAATGCAGCTGGACGATCTAGAATTTGAAGATGATCTGACTCTTCTATCGCACACGCAACAACAAATACAAGAGAAGACGAGTAGTGTATCGGCAGCCTGGGCAGCAGCTGGTCTCAACATACACAAAGGAAAAAGCGAAATTTCCCGATACAACACAACATGCACCAACAGAATCACGCTTGTTAGAGAAGTTTTACATATCTGGGCAGCATTATTGATGAGCAAGGTAAATCTGATGCAGATCTGAAGGCGTGGATGGGCAAAGCAAGGGTTGCATTTCTACAACTGAACAGAATCTGGAACACAACAAATATCAACCAACCAACCAACCAACCAACACCAAAGTCACAATTTTCAATACAAATATTATGACAGTTCTACTGTATTAGGCGGAAACTTGAAAAACTACGAAAGCCATCATCCAGAAGATACAAGCATTTGTGAACAGTTTTCTACGCAAAATACTTTAGATCCGTTGGCCAAACACTGCCAGCAACAACCTACTCTGGCAGAAAACAAACCAGATTCCAGTGAAAGAAGAAGCGGTGGAAGTGGATAGGACACACACTACGGAAAGCACCCACCTTGCATCACAAGACAAACCCTCATCTGAATTCTTCAAAGCCAACGAAAAAGAGGATAGCCAAAGAACACATTACGCCGAGAATTGGAGACATATGAAAAGAATGCACAATAGTTGGACAGAATTAAAAAGGCAAACATAGGACCGAGTAGATTGGAGAATATTGGTCGGTGCCCCGTTGGTGCTGGCTGTGGAGCTCACAATGTTGCTGCGCCGTACGCTGCCGAGTATGGATGGGGAGTCGGGGGCACAGTTGTTAGCGTCGCAATTTATCGAGAGTGTGCCTGCCGCTAAATACAACCCTTTTGCCCCATCTGTGTTCTCGTTCACTACATTTGGTGTCGCTGCCTGCTCGAAGGAAGGATCTCCCGTGGCCGAAGGAGTTGGAGGACGGAGATTTGCGGAGCTTCCTGCTGGAGTTTTAGGCCGCGGTGGAGCTGGTGGGTGTGAAGGGGCCCGGGGCGGAGTTGACGGTGCTGGGGACGCTGCGGGGAGGTGAGGTGAAGGCGGTGTACGACAGCCTGGACGGTGCCGCCGGGAAGACGGCGTGGGAGACGGTCACCGGGCGGCTGATGACGGAGTTCGACAGCCCGGTGGACAGGGAGGAGGCGCCGCATAGGTTCCGGTAAGTATGTAAGTAAGTTAGTGGGGAAGTAGGTAAGTAAGTAAGTAAGTGCATAAGTAAATAAGTAAGTAGGTAAGTAAGCGTTTCATTCCACAAGTTCTTGTGTTTTCTTCTAATTATGTTCTCTGTATATTTCATATTTATAGGTATTATTGAAAGCCTGCTAGAAATTCGTCCAGATATGAATGTCATCATGGCAAATCAAGGTTTATTCGCTTGGTTATTAAGACGTTTACAAAAACGTCCAATTTATGATAAAAATAAATTATATGTTAGTGAATTATTATCGATCCTATTGCAAATGGATGAAATGAATCGTCGTCAATTGGGTGAAGTAGATGGTATCGACATATTGTTACAACAATTATCTGTTTATAAACGACATGATCCTACAAGTCAAGAAGAGATTGAATTAATGCTAAATTTATTTGATTGTTTATGCAGTGCATTAATGTTACCAGAGAATAAAGATCGATTTTTAAAAGGTGAAGGTATACAATTAATGAATTTAATGTTACGGTAAGTTAATATTTAACGGTGGTGTATTTTTTAATTTAATTTGTAGGTGTGAAACATGGGTCAGCTAGTCAGTCAGTCAGTCAGTCTCGCATGCTGTTACGGGTATGAGGCGCAGATGTCACTTCCCGGCTGCTCACACATTGTGGAAGGTTATTTCTTGAGGGACCTGCAAAAGGAAGATAGATTAGTGTTGGTCTTAGAGACCTGGGTGCGTGACCGTAGAGTCCAAGGGACAACTGATTGAGGCCGGTCACACAGGGCTTTTTATGAAAGGTTTTTTGCGTATTAGCTTCGCTCTTGAAAGCCCTTAGTGGGCACCCTTACCACCGGAGACGGAAATCCGTGAGGTAGGGTGAGGTGTGACATTTTTTTAGGGTCGACCTTTTCTAACCCTTCTTTCGGTGTGAGAAGGCAGCATCGCTGCAGATGCTGGTTGTCCAAGGGAAACACCTTACTGTTGTCACACCTCTCTACAGTGAGTCAGCAGTACGACTTCGCTCTCAGACCTTGAATAGCTGCTTTTAGTCTGATAGTTCTCCAATCGACCTGTCTGGCTGGCATGGTAGAACCTTCAGGAACATGAGTTCCAGCCAGTATAGCTCGGTTGGGTCATCACGATAGGCAAGTCCGACCACCACGTCAAGGTAGCAGCCACGGTCGGATGGGCCAGTAAGGGTGGAGAGAATATATTTGTAGGTTGGTAGTATTCAATCATAGCTCATACATATATCCTGGGAGAATTGAGTAAGCGATGTTGATGTTAGAAAATAGGGTACAAGGTAAGGATGGCAGATAGATGGCAATAGATGAAGTAGTGAATGTTCATTGGTTGAGGTGGTTGGGGCATGTGTTACGTATGCCCAACCACCAACTGCCTCGATGGGGAATGTTTTGTGATTTAGTGGGCGGCCAGACCAAAACATGGCATGAATGCATGAAGTCATTGACAACTAAACTGAGCCATGTGGGTAGGTGTCGACTACCTGATTGGGGTCCGTAAGGCAACAGTAACCGATGGTTAGAGACTTTAAATGATATAGCTCGAAATTGTTTGCATTGGCGCAGATACATTTATTCTTTGTCTCCTCTCGAGTACTGATCTTCTCCATTACCGCTAATACTTCTACTACCTCTGCTGTTATGGGGTTTGAATTGACAATTGCATCTCTGTGTGCTAATGTGGTATGACGACTTGAACACTGATGTACGTACGTACGAAGTCCTACGTTGTAGCTGAATGACTGCAGTTAAATATTTGTGCACCGAACGAATCACTGAATTTGTATGTAAGCTGTTTGGAAGCCTGCCCATGTTCCCAAACCAAAGCAAAAGGGACTGATCGCCGAGACTTTGGCCTACAGGTCCAATTCACAAGACTATAAATAACATCAGCAGATTCACTCCCCATAGTTTTCCCTTCAGAATCATGGACCTCATGTACACTGTTAGTTTGGAATGATTGTTTTCCAATTGTTCTAGATAGATCCTCCATACTCACCAACCCAATTTAGGCCCTGGCCGTTCATTCAGTTTCCATCCTCTCAATCTCGTAAACGACACTTTTAGTTTCAGAGGGTAGTAATTAGGATTGTATGCACAGTGACTAAGTACGCATGGCCATATGAGAGCGTTTTTATTGAGTGAATGAGAGTGGTCTTTCCTCACTTTTGGCCTTACCGGGGCATTGTGAGGGCTTCGATAAGTTAGATGATTAGTCTCAGTTGTGGTAGTGGTTATTTTATATAGTAGTAGTAGTTTGAACCTGGTTTAGACAACTATTGAAAATTAAGCAGTGTGGGACGGACGTACACCATAGACTCTTCATCAGTCATATATTTCCTGATACATTGAACCAGTCAGAAATTGACACCAGTTCTAGTTGTAAAAACAGTCGGTCTTACAATAAATCTGTGAAGGACGTTCTGGTCTATATTTATGAACCCTACTTACTCTGAGAGTAGGGTGTTCGGTCATCATTATATTCTGAAGGGTTGGTGATATCAGTTTCATTTCATTTGTGTGCTACGCACTTTTTTTCGAGCTATCTTGTGCCAGGATTTATGTCCATTTGTTCTAAGTTATTTACGTTTAAATTACATCACCTAAGAATCCCAACATAGGAAACTCGGAACTCAAACAGTTGTCACCAGTAACGTCCAACGATCGTTGAGTTACATCACAAGCTAATTAAATCTAAAGTAATACCATTCAACAATCACTTAATGGCTCTAATGTTTAAGAGATCAAGTGATCAGAAGGTCCTGTGCTCTACCTCCTCCCTTGGGGTTGTAGACTTGTACTGCTGAGGAAGTCTCGCACTAAGAAGATAAAACCATTATCCAATAATCTGGATTTACAATGACTACTTAACTGTCAGTCAGTTAGTCAGATGCAACATAGAACTTCGTAGGTAAGTATATCAGTTCATGTTGCCATACCACATCAGCACAGAGACGCAAATGTCAAATCAAATCCCATAGTGATAAAGATAGCAGAGGTATTAATAGTAATGAAGAAGACTAGGGTTTGAAGATATTATTCAAGAAGTATAATTCAGTGAGATAAGGTTAGAAAGACAAAGGTAGGGGTGCTGACGAATCCAGAAGATTAGGATTTGAGAGAACACAATTAATGGATGCACCTGCGCCATTGCAAACGATTTTGAGCCATGTCGTTCATGGTCTCCAACCATTGGTGACTTTCGTCTCGCGGACCCCAACCAGGTAGTATACATCTGTCAACATGACTCAGTCCACTAGTCAGTGACTTCATGGATTTGTGCCATGTTTTGGTTTGGCCGCCCCTAGCTTTCACCCAACCTATTCCTAAACTGCAAAACATAGCTTGTCGCGGCAGTCGGTGGTTAGCCATACGTAACACATGTCCCAACCACCTCAACTGATGAAGTTTCACTACTTCATCTATTGATCTACCATCCTTACCTAGAACTCGTTTCCTAACGACAGCATTGCTTACTCGGTCGTCCCATGATACACGAGCAATGCTTCTTAAACATCTATGAACGAATACTAGTAATCTACGGACATCTTCTACTCTTAACGGCCATGTTCCGCATCCATATAGGAGAACGGAGCGAACTGCTGCGCAGTAGACTACTTAACTGAGTTTAATCTGTAGTGAATGCAACTTACAAATTTTGTTCTTGTTATATATCATTATAGTGAAAAACATATGTCACGTGACAGTGCCCTACGTGTTCTTGACTACACTTTATGTCCTGTTTCACAATTCACCGATCAAACAACCAATGACCCGCTGCAATCACATCAAAAATCCACTGGGAATACAACAGTCGATGCTGAAGCTGTAGTTGTAGCGAATTGTTCAAAATTCATTGAGATTTTAGGTTTACGAACTATTTTCCCATTGTTTATGCATTGTCCACGTGAACATGCCCTGCGATCAACATCGTGCGGGTCGAAAATCAAAAAAGCCAAAGTGATCAGTGGTCCTACAGCGGCTGAAATGGAAGAACATGTAATCAAGTAAGTGTAAACTGTTCGATTTTCTGTACAGTAGTTCGTTCTAATTTTTTCTTGAAAATATTGTTGTTATTCAGACACATAATCTAGTGAAGGAGAACACAGGTGGGGAAACCGGATTGTATTTAACGAAAATTACAGAGTTACTCAGTAAAATCGGAAAACCATATCG